CAGAGAGTTGCTAAAGCAAATGGAATAAGTGACATGATAAAGAGCTGAATGGAAGATTTAAAGAGCAGATCAAGAAGACAAAGCCAATTACTATAATGAAGTGTGCAAAGACCTGGAGTTAGAAAACCAAAATGGAAGAACATGCCATGCTCGGCATTTTCTTGAGTAAAAATTTTCTTGAGTAAAAGAACTCAGTAAAAATTTAAGCCTCGAGTTGCAATATTGAAAGATTCTGTGAGCAAAATATTGAATGATGCAGGAAACATCAAAGAAGATGGATGGAATACACAGAGTCACCATAGCAAAAAGAATTGGTCGATGTTCATCCATTTCAGGAGATGGCATATGATCAAGAGCCAATGGTATTGAAGGAGGAAGTTGAAGCTGCACAGATAGAATTGGTGAAGAACAAGGCTCCAGGAACTGACGAAATACCCACTGAGATGTTTCCACAAACAGATGCCCCGCTGGAGGCACCCATTCAACTATGGCAAGAGATTTGGAAGATAGCTACCTGACCAACTGACTGGAAGAGATCCATATTTTTCCCCATTTCAAAGAAAGATGATCCCACAGAATATGGAAATTATCCAACAATATCCTTGATATCTCATGCAAGTAAAATTTTACTGAAGATCATTCAAAAATGGATGCTGCAGTATACTGACAGAGCTTCCACAAATGCAAGCTGGATTCAGAAGAGGATGTGGAACAAGGGATATCATTGCTGATGTCAGATGGATCTCAGCTGAAAGCAGAGAATACCAGGAAGATGTTTCCTTTCGTTTTATTGACTATGCAAAAGCATTCGATTGAGTGGATCAAACAAATTATGGATAACATTGAGAAGAATGGGAATTCCAGAACACTTGATTATACTCATGAAGAACCTGTACAATGATCACAAGGCTGTCATTTGAACAGAACAAAGGGATACTACACGGTTTAAAATCAAGATAGGAATGTGTCAGGATTGTATCCTTTCACTATTCTTATTACATTTGTATGCTGAGCAAATAATCCAAGAAGTTGGATTATATGGAAAAGAACATGGCATCAGGATTGGAGGAAGGCTCATTAACACCTGTGATACGCAGATGAAACAACTTTGCTTGCTGAAAGTGAGGATGACTTGAAGAACTGGTGAAGACTGAAGACTGCAGTTGGCAGTATGGATTACACCTCAATAAAAAGAAAACAAAAATCCTCACAACTGGTCCAATAAACAGCTTCACAATAAATGGAGAAAAACATGAAGTTTTCAAGAACTTCTTATTACTTGATTATACAATCAACTCCAATGGAAGCAGCAGTCAAGACATTAGATTACATATTGCATTGGAAAAATCTGCTGCAAAAGACCTCTTTCAAGTGATGAAGAGCAAAAATATCTCCTTGAAGACTAAGGTGCACCTAACCCATGTCATGGTATTTTCAATCACCTCATATGCATGTGAGAGCTGGACAATGAATAAGGAAGACCGAAAAAGAGTTGATGCTTTTGAGTTGTGGTGTTGGAGAAGAATGCTCACAGTACCATGGACTGCTAAAAAGGACTAACAAATCTGTTCTGG